GGAAGGAAGGAAGGAAGGAAGGAAGGAAGGAAGGAAGGAAGGAAGGAAGGAAGGAAGGAAGGAAGGAAGGAACCTGGGATGCTGTCTTTCAGTGATGGATGCAAGGACAGGCTTCTGTGACCTCTGACCCTCCCTCTGCATCACTAACCATCACTCCATCCTCAGTGTCACTTTAGATCTGGAATAGTGACCCTCTCAGTACTGTTCTCTTTGCTCAAGCCTGCTTTGGGGTCTTCTGTGGTTCCACATGAATTTTAGGATTTTTGTTTCTATTTCTGTGAAGAATGTCATGGAGAATCGTAATTTTGATTGAGACTGCATGGGATCTGTGTTTCCTTCGGTAGAGTGGGGTTCAGATAGGCAGCATGAGTGTTTTTTCCCCTAATGTCTTCCTCAATCTCTTTTTATCAGAGACATAAAGTTCGTCCTAGAAGTTTTTCATTCCTTGAATAGGTTTATCCCTCGATATTTTTGAATGGGAGTGTTTCCCGACTTCTTTCTCAAAGTCTTCGTTATCAGCATATAGGAAGGACTACTGATTTGTGTGTGTGGATTCTGTGCCCTGCCACTGTTCTAGAAGCTCTCTGGTGGAGTTTTGGGATCTTTTATGTAAAAATCATAACATCTAGAGGTAGGGATAATTTGACTTTTCCTATTTGTATCTCTTTGATTTCCTTCTCTGGTCTTACTGCTCTGGTTGGCTCTTCAAGCACAACATTGGAAATAGCGAGGCTAGTGCACAGCCCTGCCTCCTTCCTGCTTTTAGTGGAATTGTTTAGAGATTTTTCTCCATTTAGGATGCTGTTAGCAGGGGTTTGTCATATACAGTATTTATCTACTCTCTCCGGGACTTTATCGTGAAGGCATGTTGGGTTTTGTCAAAGTTCTTTTTTACATCCACTTAGATGATCGTGTGAGTTTTGTATTGAGCCCATTGGTATGATTTATTACATTTATTGATTTATGTACGTTGAGCCATCCCTATATCTCTAGGACTAAGCCAACTTGATCATGGTGGATGATCTTTTATATATTTGGTTTGAAGATACTTTATTGAGGACTTTTGTATCTATGTTCATCAGGAATATTGGCCTGTAGTTCTATTTCTTGTGTTTTTACCTATTTTTAGAATTAGAGCGATACTGACTCTGGGGAGGGTACTCCTTCTGGGTTTTTGTTTTGTTTTGTTTTGTTTTTAATAACTGAAGACGCATTGCTTACAGATCCTCTTTGAACATCTGGTAAAATTCCACTGTGAATCTATCTGGGCCTTGACTGTTTTTAGCCAGAAGGCTTTTCATCACTGTTTCTACCTCCTGTTACAGGTCTGTTTAAGTTGTTGATCTCTTCTTGACTTAACTTTGGTAGTTTGGATGAACGTAGAAATTCATCCATGTCTTGTAGATTTTCTAACTCAATGGAGTACGGGTTTTTACAGTATCCCCTCATAGTCATTTGAATTTCTTTGGTGTCTGTTGTAATGTTTCCCTGTCCATTTCTGATTCTGTTCATCCGGGTCTCTCTTTCTTGCTTGCTTTTGGTTAGTTGTTTCAAGGGTCTGTCAGCCTTGTTTGTCTTCTCTTAGATTCATTGATTCTTTATACTGTTTTCTTTATTTCTGTTTCATTAATATTTCTGCTCTGATTTTTGTTACTTATTACCATCT